CTTCTGTCCCTTAGCTGGGGCCTCAGACCTCCCTTCACAGTCCAGTCCTGTTGATACAAGAATAAAAAACGTTGGGCATGAGAAGGGATGTGTCCCAGGCTTTGGTTGAGCCCCTGGAATGTCCCCCACCAGATTTTGTTCCTTGGCTTCATGCAGTAAAGTATTCAAGAGCAAGCCAGTCTTGAATAAAGGTAGATTTATTCAGAGAGATACATTGAAATGCAAGAGAAACGTCACGAAGTTTGGGGGTTTGATGCTCAGATTAAAAGTAGGTACACACTCCACAGACAGAGTGTGGGTCTTCTCCAAAGAGGGAGAGAAAGTGGTGACCGCGAGGTGGCGCTTTGTTGCTTGTTTTCTTGGCCTTGGTGGTTTCTATGCTAATAAATAGAAGGACCAGCCTTAGGGCAAGGGGCTGGGATTCGCAGGGAGTTGGCCATTTCCCACCCTGTGACCTTTTGTGGCTAGCCTTGGGACTGCCATGGTGCCTGGGGCATTTTTTCACCATGTTACTATTACAATGGGTGTTTACTGAAGCTCAAGATCTGCTAGAAGTTAAATCTCTTCATCCTGAGCCTCAAGGCCTATTGGGGGTTGAATCCTTCACCATTTTGATGTTAATTGTTGTGGCCTTACTTGAATGGCTGTGCTGTGCCCCCTTCCATCCTGTCTCACTGTGATGACACAGAGACAGCAAAGGCCTGGCCCTGCCTGTTCTCCTGCATTTAAGGGCGGGAGGGGTGGGGTGGGCTTATGATGACTCTGAGTGGTGAGAAGGATGTTTCAGATTTTCCCACATGAGACATGGGTACCTGCCAGCAGCCACCACAGATTTATCTCACGGGGCATTATCGCTTGTGTTGTTATGGAAACAACAGGCCAGACAAGAAACAAGAATCACTCAGAGGGTTGGAGTACTGAGATTTTTTTTACACTGGAGGGCTCAGAGGGGCTTCTGTTCCGAAGCTCTGAGCACCTCCAAGACATACACATGAGGTTTTATAGGGTTAATTACAATTAAGGTGGTATTAGCCAAAAAGACTCAAACAACAAAAAACATGGGATCAGTAAACTGAAGCTTATAAATTTGTAACAGATCACGTTATTGACAATTGTTGACATTGGATTTACGAGTAGGCTTATTAACCCAGTAAACTGACACTAAACTTCAGGTTTACCAGGTAGCCCAGCAAAACTTAGGTCAGTAAACCGACACTTATCACACTTAGATTTGTGACTTAGCTTGTTAGCCCAGCTGGGCTTTTCCTTCACAGTGTCACTTATCTTTTCTATTTTTCTTTTATTCTTTTTTTAAGTACTTAATCCAAATTTAATATCAGGGCTTTTAGGGAAAGAAATTTCTCTTTTTCTTTCTTTGGGGCTCTTTTGGGGGGGAGGTAATTACATGTATTTTTCTGTTAGTGGAGGCCCTGGGGCTTAAATCCAGGGGCCCGTTCACGCTAAGCACACGCTCTACCACCTGCCCCATCATCTTTTTCTTTTTGCTTTAGCTGCCAAGGATCTTACCGCTGAATTTCTAGTCGGCCTTTAACACTTGTCCTGACTTCATGGAATCCATTTTTATGAGTTTATCTCCCCCTGGTTTCATTTAAGTATTGAATCTCCATTTTCTATTCACTCTCAGTTTTACCTTTTTGTTGTTATGGTTGTTAAGCTGTGTTTAAAAAAATTGTTTAAATTCTCTTTAAGCAAGGGGCTGAATGTAAATAAATATGTAAACAAAAGGCACAATTAAATGCTTTTATATATTCTAAGCTGTTTAGTAGTTACTTAAAAACCAAATTGTATATTAAAGTGATAACATTTTTAAATTATTTTTTAATTTTATAAAGATATAGCTGAGTTAATATATGATATTAGTTTCAGGTGTAAAATAGATACTCTATTTATTGTTACTGTAAAACATTGTCTGTATTCCCTGTTTTGTAAGATACATCCCTCTAGCATGTTTCCATTTCATGTTGCAGTTTGAATAAGAAAGTTGGATAACGCAGAGTCTGGGACGTGGCTGTGTCTGACACAGGTTCACGCTCACCCTGCCTGTCAGAGCTCATGTCTTCAATACTGCGTGCAGGGGAGCGAGTGGAGGCAGCTCTCATCAGCGCTGGCACCACCCTCTGAGTGGCAGTGACAGCAGTGATTGTGTGTGGACGTGCAAAATGTTGTTCCAAGAGTTTTACATGCGTTTCTGCATTTAATAATTAAAGCCCTCCTGTGACGAAGCGTTTTAAGTTTTTAATGTATCATACATTTTATTTTGATATTGATAGATTTCAGACCTCCGGAAAATTTACAGAAGTAGTACAATAAACGCTTAGATACAGTTCACCTTAAAGGTCACTATTTGGCTTTTTGTGTCTGGCTTATTTTAGCGTAAAGTTTCAAGGTTCTTCCATATTGTAGCCTGAATCAGTAGTTTATTCTTTTTGTTTGATAATATGCTTTTTCTTTTTTGGGGGGGTTTGGTCTATTTAAAAATATTTTCATTGAAGTCTAGTCAGTTTATAATGTTGTGTCAGTTTCTTGTGTTCAGCACAACACTTCAGTTAAATAGGAACATACCTGTATTCATTTCCATACTCTTTATAAACATACGTTACTATAAGATATTAAATATATTCTCCTGTGCTATACAGTATAAACTTGCTGTCTATTCTTTACATACTCAGTATCTGCAAGCTTTGAACTCCCAATTTATTTCTTCCCACACCCTCTCCACTTTGGTAACCATAGTTTGGTTTCTATGACTCTGTGTCTGTTTCTGTTCTGTAGATAAATTTATCTTTTTTTTTTTTTGGTTTTTTTGTTTTTTTAGATTCCAAATATGAGCGATCTCATATGGTATTTTCCTTTCTCTTTCTGGCTTACTTCACTTAGAATGACATTCTCCAGGTCCACTGATGTTGCTACAAATGGCATTATTTTATTATTATTTTATGGCTGAATAGTAGTCTATTGGACAAATATGCTACAACCTCTTTATCCAGTCATCTGTCAGTGGACATTTAGGTTGCTTCCATGTCTTGCTATTATAAATAGTGCTGCTGTGAACATTGGGGTGTAGGTGTCTTTTTGAATTAGGGTTCCTTCTAGATATATGCCCAGGAGTGGGATTGCTGGTTCATATGGGAGGTCAATTTTTTTGTCTTTAGAGGAACATCTATAGAGATTTCCACAATGGCTCCACCAAACTGCATTCCCTCCACAGTGTAGGAGTGTTCCCCATTCTCTGCAGCCTCTCCAGTATTTATTGTCTGTGAACGTCTGAATGATGGCTATTCTGACTGGTTAGAGGTGATACTTGATTGCAGTTTTGATTTGCATTTCTCTGAGAATGATATTGAACATTTTTTCATGTGCCTACTGGCCATTTGTACATCTTCATAGGAGAAATGTTTCTTTCTGACTTCTGCCCATTTTTGAATTGAATTGTTTGTTTTTCTTGTTTAGTGTAAAAGCTGTTTACATATTCTGGGAATTAAGCCCCTATCAGTTTAATTTATTGCAAATATTCTCTCCCATTCCATAGGTAGGTTGTCTGTTCGTTTTGCTTACTGTTTCCTGAGCTCTGAAAAAGTTTGTAAGTTTAATTAGATCCCTCTTGTATATTTTTGGTTGTTTTTCTATTGCTTGAGTAGACTGCTCTAGGAGAACATTGCTGAGATGTACGTCAGATGTTTTGCCTATGGTTGCTTCTAAGAGGTTTATAGTGTATTGTCTACATGTTCAAGTCTTTAACACATTTTGAATTCATTTTTGTGTATGTTGTGAGGGAGTAGTCTAACTTCAATGATTTACATGCAGCTGTTCAGTTTTCCCTACACCATTTGCTGAAGAGGCTGTCTTTACTCCATTGTATGTTCTCACCTCCTTTGTCGAAGTTTCAATGACCAAAATTTTGTCGGACTATTCTTGGTAATTTTGTTTATCCGTTCATTGATGGATGGATATTGTTAGTAAGTTTTGGCTACTCTGAATGATACTGCTATGAATATTGATGTGAAATTTTTTATGAGAATATGTTTTCATTCTGTTGGCTGTACAGTTGGCCCGCCATATCTGTAGTTTCCACTACATGGATCCAGATGGCTGATTTTAAAGGAACTCGAACATCCTTGGATTATGGTATCCAGGGTGTGGGGTTCCTGAAACCAACCCCACAAGGATACTGAGGGATGTCTCTATGTGTAGGAGTGGAATTGCTGAGCCATATAACTCTAAGCTTTTGTGGAAATACCAGACTTCTCCAAAGAAGCTGCACCATTGTCCCTTTCCCCTGGCCGCATATGAGGTTTCTCTGCCTCCTGAATGACATTTGTTTTTGTCCATGTTTTGATTATAACCATCCTAGTGGGTGTAAAATGAGATCTCATTTTGATTTTTATTTGGCTAGTGATGCTGAGCATCATTTCATATGCTTATTGGCCATTTGTATTTCTATGTATATTCGTGGTAAATTTAAAATTTGGGTATATTTTCTTGTATTGTTCAGTTGTAAGAATTTGTTATATATCCGGGATGCTACTCTCTTATTAGATATATGCTTTGCAAAATTTTTCTTCTATTCTGCACATTGTCCTTTCACTATATATTTTTTTAAACATTAAAACAATTTCTTTACAGGGGAGGTAATTAGATGTATTGATTTATTTTATTTTTCTTGCTAAGCACGCACTCTATCACTTGAGATACCCATTTCCCCTGTCATTTCACTTTCTTGATGATGTCCTTTGTAAGAAAAAGGTTTTAATTTTGATGAAGTCCAGTTTATCTGCTTTTTTCTTCTATCATTTGTGCTCTTAGTATTGTATCTAGGAAACCAAAGCTTATCCTAGGACCACAAAGATTTATACAGTGTCTTCTTTTAGAAAGTTTATAGGTTTAATTTTTACATTTCTGTCTGTGATCTATTTTGAATTAATTTTTTTGTTATATAAAATATGGGTGTTCAGATTCCAGCTTGATTCTTTTGCCTGCAGATACCCAGCTGTCCCTGCACCATTTGTTGAATAGACTATTCTTTCAATGGTGTGTTGTTGGCCCCCTTGTGGAAAATTGTCTGTAAATGTAAGTTTTTTCCCCCTTGGTTTTTATTGTGTCTCATAGATTTATTTATCCAAACTTATGCCAGTACCATACTGACTTAGTACTATAGCATTTTAGTACCCTTTAAAGTGAGTCCTCCAACTTTACTCTTCTTTTTCAAGGTTGTTTTGGCTGTTCTGGGCCCATTGCATGTCCATATGAATTTTGGGATCAGTTTTTCAATTTTTGCAAAGAAGTCAGCTAGAATTTTGATAGGGATTCCACTGAATATGTAGATCTCTTTGAGGAGTCTTAACATTTTTAATAATATTGTCTATCATTCCATGAACATGGGATGTCTTCCATATATGTAGATCTTTTAAAATTTATTTTGGTGATACTTCAAAAAGTTCAATGTACAAATCTTGTAAATTTTTGTTAAATGTATCTCTCATTTTATTTTTAATGCTGTTGTAAATGGAAAGGCTGAGTTTCTTATGGGTGGGACTATATATCAATCTTCTTATTTCTAGAATTCCTTCACAGCAAATACCCTAGCTATATACTTGCTACATAAATCTATCCACAACTATTCCCCGCACTATGTTATTAGAAACCAAGGCCCAAGTTAAGCTACCTGAACACCTATGTGGATGTGAGAAATGAGACCCTTGGGTGGGGCTTTGTACAGATGATACTGAGAGCTTATTCTGGATGGCTTCTTGTTAATTACTTTTAAAGAACCCTTTCGGTGTATTTAGACAGATACATTAAGAACATGCCCTTTTGATGTGCGGAGTAGCTAAGACTATAATTTTCAAATAATTTCTAGTGAAAGTGTTGTAATTGAAACCTAATTTGCATCAATCTTTGAAGATTTATGTTTCAGGAGCTTTCACTAAAGAACACCTGTCTTTATTCAATAATGACAACTAAATGCTCAAGCAACATGTAAGAGTTTGAGCAAACTGCCCCCGCCGCGTAGTGCTGGGTGGCTGCAGCCGCAACTGGAGTCAGCGCTTACCTCTCCCAGTACGCTTGTGCTGATCTGCTCAAAGGGGCTCGTCCAACAGTTTGTCAGTAGTCTGTTGGACAAAGTCATAAAACATTGGTTGAAGGTTGCTGGAATGCAATATATTCTTATTAATATTAAGTCAGCTCATATTGAGTGCTTACTGTATGATGGAATTGTCCCTCAGCCTCACATGAATATTATTTCTTTTAAAACCTCACATATTTCCTTGTTATTGGCACTTTACAGATAAGGACCCTGAGGATAAGGTCTTCTCTCTTTTGGGCGGAGCTCATTATCAATGATGGGAAGTTGTAAGGAAAAAGATATTGATTCATCCTGAGAAAACATTTTTCTGAGAGTCAGCAATGAACAAGATAGACACTGAAGACGGTGATCATTGTTCGAGTGAGACAAGCCCTGGGTTGTGCGGAGTCAGCATCCCTGTCCTGGACACGGCACGTGTAGAGCTGCGTGGTGGGTGAGGTGGCGCGGCTGCGCAGGGAACGTGGATGCCGGGCCGTTGGGCTGTGCTCAGGCCCGGTGGGGCTTTCTCCTAAGGGCAGTGGACCGTCATTGACAGATTTCAAGTAGGGGAGTGGGGTGCTCTCGTACTTCACTTTTGTCTTGTAGAATGCTTGGAAACATTTAGAAGGCTTGGCAGGAGGTGATGTGATGAGTCAGAGTAGGGTGGCTGCGAGGTGTAGCAGTGTTCAATTTTCAAGTGGTTTTCAGGCCCAGGCTAGTGGCTCAGTAGCCGTGTCACTTTGGATGACACACTCAAGGAAGTGAAATAATTTATCTAATCAATTGAAGCAGTGATGTACCGAATTCCCAGGACTGTTGTGGAGATCCAGTGAGATAACATGTGCACAGTGTGCAGCGTGGTCTCCAGCACAGGGTCAGTGCTGAGTGAGTGCCAGTGAGTATCTGGTAGGTCAGTTGAGGGTGGTGGGACTCGGTGACTGAGGATATCTGGACCCTGAAGGAAGGGTCCATTCACATCTGTGAGTGATGGGCCTGAGTTGGAGAGGCAGGGAGACCTTACCCCCCGATCAGGTGCCCTGGGCAGGACGGCTATGGGAGGAGATCCGTGAAGTCATCTCTTTGCAGGTGGAGTTGGAGGTGCCCTTGAGACATCTTAGTGCAGTGTCACGAGCTGAAAGAGGAGGTCTGGGCCCAGGCTGTGCATTTTCCTATAATCTCAACCCCTGATGGTGCCGAAGTATTGATCTCTGAACGTGAAGTCATACTTTACAGGACAAATGAATAGTAGTATCATCTCTGTCATCAAAGCTCACGTTTCTTTATTCATCACTCACTTAGCTAATTGGGTCGTTACAGAGCTCACTTCACCGTCCTCCCTTGGGCTCAGGCTCCACAGAAAAGAGCTGATGAGCCTCCCTCTTTTCCAGAAGAAGACACATTTACCTTGTAGCCTTCTGTTCCTTGCCAGACTTAGGATATTAGTCTGTTGGTTTAACTGTATTTTCTGTTGGCCGTGTCCTGACAGGAGAGAAATTTTACCTCATGGTTATGTTTCAATTAGCTGTTACTGAGAATTGCTGATCTGATACATAGTGTATGTATTCTATTAACTTTGTAGAATAGTTATCATTTTTCTGTCTTTGCCCTTTAATTTTGTTTGCCCCTTCAATGTTCTATCCTATTTGGGGCCTTATATATTTTTTTAATTAAAAAATGTCTGTTAACAGTTAAGAAAACAAAAGCAAAGAAAAAATGCACATGAGAGCTAAATTTAGAAAATGTCTAGTGTGCTTTCTGTCTCGGCAATGGAGGGTTCCAGAAACTCGTGAAAACCTTCATTACGCAAGTTCCTTAAAATGCTGATTACGAAATAAAACCTTCCTTCCTCATCTTTCAAGCTGCAATGTTAATTGTCATGAAAGTGACAGGAAATTCTCAGAAGCCAAGACAAACTAGAAATCAGGGATTCTGGGAGATACGTGAGCCTTAAAAGCCCTGGGGTGCTGGTTGGCTCCAAAATGATTTTCAGTTGCCTTGACGGGAGGGCAGGAGGTTAGCCCCAGGCCTCTCACACTAGGAGTTGGATGGGTGATCATATTATGGGCCAAGCCCATCCCGAGAATCTTGGTTTACTAAAGGGTGAAAGAGGAAAAAATTCCTCAAGGCAAGAA